GAGTTTACATATCACCTTGGGTTCGTCCTTCACCTTCTCAAAATGATCCCACACTTTGGATTTCCTGCCCGACATGTTATTAACTAGCCTGTGGAATAACTGCAGGTACCAGCCCTGGAAATTAACCTGACTCCTGTCTGACTGCTGAGCGTGGACACTTCCTGTGTCTGTCCTTTCAAATTAAAGTCACACATGGTCTAGTCATATAAGTTTGGATTTATTTTGACAAGGCGCAGCTCCTAGAGAGTTTCACAAATACTTTTTTCCCTACGACTAAGCGACCAATGAAATCTTGCTGACTACTGACCTTTCTGGTCGACTATCAGGGGGCAGCCCTAATTTTTTAATTAAAAGATAGATATAATGAGGCTGTAACATGACAGCAAGGACGTTTCTTTTACTTGGTTAGTAGCAGAAAACAGCAGAATGACTGCAGTAAACATGAACAATAAGCTGGTGCCGGTGTATCGATACTGTAGAAAATCAATATTGAAACCAATTTCAAATGTTCAGAATCGCTGTGTATCGATAAATTGATATTTTTGACAACACTACATCAGGATGATTCAAGACGTGAAGTGCCTCGTCGGGGTTCCTTGCACAATAATGACCTACTCTGTGTATGTTATCCCTTAATTATTGTGTTTTGTCAGCGTTCAGTGAAAGCTGTATTGTGATGGTTGGATTCCACTGCGTCCTGATTGCTGTCCTTATGTTCTCCTCCTCGCAGCTCTGCAGCCTCAGACTCCTAATTGGCCTCCCTGCCACCATTGTCTCCCTGCGTGTACCATTCCTGCGGTTTTCTATCTGGCCCCTTGTATGTTTTCATAAGAAGCCTATATAGGTATAATTGTAGTGTTGCCTTCCTGCTGTGTGGCTGGCCGAGGACTGCTCATGTCCTCACAGGAGGGTCTGCAGGTTTAGCTCAGTTTGCTCTAAGCGGAGCTGGCCACTGTGTGGGCCACGTCGCGTCTTGCCTGGCTCTGCAGTTGGTCTCATTGGTCTTTATTGTCATTGCTTCGTTCCTGTGCAGCCTTTGAATGCAAGTGTCTGTAGCCTCGGCCTTCGCATTTCCCAATGGTTCGCTGTTCTTTCTCTGCATCTCCTGTGGTTTTATTGAATTGTGACTTCTAGACGAGGGAACATAGTGCTCAGTGTTTTCCACCTCTCTGGAAACACCATCGAATCACTGTCAGGCTCTTTTTCATGTTATGCACATGTTGACTGAGGAGCAGACGGGCAGACACATTGTGGAAACACAAAGACAACTGTCACCTGTTACCTCACTGCACCTTTTACACCTCTGTTAAAGCCTCAGTGTGCACACTCGACCACACTCACTCCTCTGTGCCTCTCAATAATTAATTGGATCAGTGGAGTTGTCTCAGGGGGCCTGTGTGTGTGTGTGTGTGTGTGTGTGTGTGTTTGCGTCTGTGTGTGTGCGTGCACGCGCGTCTGTGTGTTCAGGAAGAGCGCGACCAAAAGCGATGCATACCAGATGTTTTAGAAATGAGGTGGGTTTCACTGGAACGTAACACATTCCCAGGGTTGTTTGCGGAAAGAAATTCTTCCTCATCTGTCGAGCATGTTCTGCACCCAACCCCCCCAGGGGGGTATGCATCCAGTCTACTCGTCTGTTTTTCACTCCTCCCTCTGTCTCTTTTAATGGGGGTCTTGTCATTAAACCCACAATCTCATGTGTGTGTCCCTTGTGCGCCTGTAAACACCATGCATATGTAGATGCTGGTGTGTTCCACGCTGGTGAAGCTGGTGATTTGTGTATTTAATTTTGTCAACACGGAACTCAGAGGGTACGTCCTCCTCCCTCTGTTTCCCGGTGGGTGAAATTGTTTCAGCTCAGACTTAAAAGTGATTCAGGGTGATATGTGACATGGTGTGTGTGTCTGAGTATGTGTGGCATGGGTCGGGGGGTGGAGGGGGGTTGCAGATGATTTGGCCGTGGCTGCAGATTGAATGGCTTAAGCTGCAGACTGCCACTATGGGCGTGCTTTTGTCTATTTGTGTTAGCAAAGTAAAGTCTGAGCACTCTCACCTGCACATGGGGGGAGTGGGCGAGCCAGGCCAGAGAGAATGCAACTAGTGAGGGCTGCAACTGACAGTTGTTTTAAGGATATAAACTTTTCCATATTAAAATCTCTAAAAATGACCAGACCAGTGTTTGTATTTTGTTAAGGTGTGTACTTAGAGTATCCTAAACTTTTCCAACAATGTTCAAACCAAGAGAAATCTGTAATTTTAATCAAGGACACGGTCATTTGGTCGTAATCACCTGTCAGTGGCGTTGTATTTCATCATAAATGGACTTTTTCCAGACGTTTTTTTGGGAACCAACTGCAGTCACATGACACATTGTTTGGGTTAAACATGAGCATGTTACAGTCCTGGAGGATTATTAATGTGCACCTCCTCCTGTACTGCCTTAATATGCACATTCAGCACATCCAATGCATCAAAACATTGTTTTCTAGTTGGAGCCGCGCCTCGTTTTCAAACTGTATGCTTTGACTAAAATGAACAATGACAGCAATATAGTCCACGATGAGCAGCGCTAAAATCAACCTGCGTAGTTGTCCCTCCATTGTGACATTAGAAAGTGTCACATTTATCTTGCAAGTGTACTCTTCTTCAACGTTTGCTTTACTTCCTGGATTTTTCCCACATGGAAATTCTGACCAATCAAGAGCAGCTTTCTCACACAAGGCATTTGATCTGGTCCTCTTGTAAATGCTGCCGTGAGAACACGAACCAACTCTAGGCAATTATACAACTTTGGAACAACATGAGTCCCTGATTCAGACCAAAGGAGACCACTCTCCTTTTAACCCAACCAGACAAGCCAGCATGACATGGTTGGTCCTCTAGTTTCATATGATACCAATATTTCACTATAGCTTTAAAACTCCGACAACCACAGCCTCTGACAGACGGTAATCTGGGCTGAGGATGCCAGCGTCCTAGCAGAGTGGAAGAGGTTAAAAGAGATTTAAATCAAGCGTAGATCAAGATACGCAGCACAACCATATTAATTACACTCTAATCTCTACTCAGACCAATGAATCAGACAGATTAATATCCAGACTAATTAGTGTCTGTTCCACAGAAAATGTTATCACAGAAAAAAGCTGAGCCAAAACTGTATTTCCATGTGCCTGACTCACAGGCTGTAACTGTAACTCCAGACGCCCAGGTGGTGACTGAGCTTCCTCATCCATCCACACACGCACAGGAGGCTCTGCCTCATCACCTCAGCAACCGCCTCCATGGCATCAGAGTACATCAACACAGTCAACCTCTCTGCAGGAGAACAAGACAAAACATCCCCTCCTCTAGTTCAAAGGCCGGATGTTGTAATGAGTGACATGTAGCCTGAGTGTCAGACTGAAGCTCCCAGAACCTTCAGTCTGACATGGCTTCCATTGAAGGCGATTTACAAGGGGGAGGGAATTTGATTTTTTCCCTAACCAATCAGTAGAGATCAACGACTCACCCAGAATCTGACGTCATTAGTATCCATGCCTCGGGGGTGCCGAAAACAAGTGAGCATTGCCCGTTTAAAATGTCTCCGTCGTCGTGCATGCCCAGCTGCATCGCCGTTAAATCCAGTTTAGCAGCTTCCTTAATTTGGTCCTCCATTAACACGAGTAGTGGCGAAATACCTCAATAGCATCGTTAATGTGGTCTGTAGGATCTGTAGCGGTCGCCATTGTTGCTATCCTCACCAGTTACCCACCGGCGTACAGCTTGACATCAGCGCTGATTGGCTAATCGCTAGACCCCCGGCGTTCATTGGTCCATCCAGCGTTTGGACGAGATAAATCGCAAATTCATTGAAGTATGCCAGACCAGAGATGCAAGCCTACTCATTTGAGTGGGTGGGGTCTATGGTCTGGAACCAGGCTAAGTGACATGGTTTCTAGTCAAGTGCTTTTATTCTAATGATACAATAAGTGTTTAATTTGCTTTCTCTGCTGTTGCTGATGAGTTGTCCTCTTGAAACACATTGTCTGCTATTAAAATTCTAATTTTAGGTAAGAGACGGTTTGTGTCATCTCCACCAAAGTTGGTCTGAATTTGAGTCATGGCTGTAATGCAGTTGTTTTCCTACTTGAATCTCAAACTCGACAAATCATTTCCTGCTTCCCACCCTCACACATCACAGCCACTTCTCTTAAATACCCCTTTAAAGTAAAAACTCAACATGCAGAAAATAAAACCCTGATTTACTGCTTGTGATTTTTATGTTTATGTTAAATTAACAGTCTTCTCTTTCTTTTCTTTTTCAGTCCTCTGCGCCAAAAACCTGGTGAAGAAGGACTTCTTCCGTAAGTATCTGCCAATCACAGCTGTCTTTAAGAACCTGAATAGGATGCATTCACTGTAAAGACCTCTGGAGATAGAGAAACATGGGTCACTTTGGGCTGATAAATTTAACTACTGCTAGCCGACAGCAACACACGAGGATCTGCTTATTTAATAATTTCAACACGTGGATGGTTTATTTTATTATATAATCCTTATGAGTAGAAGAGTGTCGTCTGCATAGTGCTTCATCACGTTAAAAACGCAGGCTCAGGCCCCTATCACAGAGAAAGTGTTTTGCAGGTTTTCATAGTATAGAGCCCAGAAACGCAAGGTGCGCAGCAATGTAAAGACAGCGAGCAAAAAGCTTCATTTTCATTAAAAATAATCACAAAAATGCACCTCCAGCTGCCAAAATGCTTCCCATGTGATCAGGGCCTAAAACTCAAGTGTAAACATACAGTATGGATGATATAGTTTTGTAAGATATCACTTAGATATAGTGGATAAGTTTCTATTTTGGGCAACATTTCTGAAACACCCAGTTCATTCTCTCCACCAAAGTCCTAATAACTCATGTGTGGGTGTCTTTAGTGTTGTGAGTGTTTGGGTGTGTTTGGGTCAGGCTGTCATGGTGAATGAGCACGTAAAGGTCTTCTGCTCACTCAGGTGGTTTCTGTGGTGCCCATTCCTGCCATTCCAACGTTCAGGAGCTGAGCAAACATTCAGTCAGGGTGCTGGTGGGGAGCAGCACTGAAACCAAAGATGAAAACGTCTGTGTGTGTGTGTGTGTGTGTGTGTGTGTGTGTGTGTGTGTGTGTGTGTG